CTGGCACAGAGCTCACTACCTTTCATCTCTGACGACGGCCTGTTGGCGGTTGTTTCTGATATTAGGCTGAAGGCCTAGGATCTGCCCGCTGTCAGACAGGTGGATCCTTTCTGACCCTCTGGACAAGGTCATATCCCTTATAGGAAGAGAGTGACCATAATGTCTTTGGTCCTCAAAGAGGACGTCTTGAAGTCCTCTGGGCCTCAAGGCTCTAGTATGATCTTGGTTTCATCTCCCAACTTGGTCCTTTGCACCTGGTTGTGTACCTTTGCCTCCAGTCCATTTAAGATTTGGTACCTAGGGGCAGACGCCTGAGCAGCTCAGTCGGTTAAGCCTCTGACTTCGGCGCAGGTCATGATCTCACAGTTTGTGAGTTCGAGCCCTGCGTTGGGCTCTGTGCTGACAGCTCAGAGCCTGGAACCTGCTTCTGATTCTATATCTCCCTCTCTCTCTGCCCCTCCCCTGCTCGCACTCTGTCTCTCTCTCAAATTAAAAAAAAACAAATGGGAAAAAAAAAAAGATTTGGTATCTAGAATGGAGCAGAAGGTTCCAGGTACCTGATTGTCCAGGGCAGGACAGAGAGAAGGGCCATCCCTTCCCTCATGCTGCACGCTCCTCTCTAAACTGGAGGGCCTGGTCTGTGGGTCCCTTGGTCACTTATGTGTCCACAGGGCCGAGCACAGAGTCTGGCACCAAGCTGTCGTTAGTATTTAGGGAGGCATAGAGCCACTTTGTGTCTCTGGGGCCGCTCCAGGGGCCAGAGCCGGGGCTGCAATCAGAAGGCAGGGCGGGCAACAAGCCTGCTGGCTACGAACTGCACTGCTGACCCCCAGCCCAGCAGTTTTGCTCTTCCCATGCCCAGGGCTGGCGTGTCCTCCTGTTTATTCCTGGTGGGGGGAAGGGGCAACTGGGTGGTTAAGTTGTCCACTGCCAACAGCCTTGCTGGGGTCGGGGTAGTGCTTTGCCCGGCTCTATAATTTCCTAGGAGGGGATTATTTGTGCAGATGGTCAGTGGCTGCTGATGTGGGCTGTTTGAGTCACCTCGAGGAGATTTTATCTCATCTCCCTTCTCCGAGAGTGCATTACTGACTCATTAATGATTCTTTAAAGGAAATCGTCAGCGAGTTGGTATTTTACAGACCAGCCGGCCCTAGAGCACTGGTAGAAGGTCAAGAACCTTGAACTGAGAGAGATGGATGAAATTTGATGATTCTGCAGTCGAATGCGGGGCTGGCTGTGGATAGCCGGCTCAGCCATGTCACTGAGGAGGCTGCTGACGTATGTTTGACACAGGAAAGGATGTGAGCTCAGACACCAAGTGCTCCTCTCAGGAGAGGGTTACAGGACAGCCTGGCTTGGGAGGGCGGTTCTGGACAAGAGGGTGATGAGCCTCAGCCCCTGTGGCTTCTCTCAAGGAACCGGAGCCTGATTGCCTGGGGCCGGTGCAGCTGCGCAGCCGTGGAAGGGTGGGCTCGGGGAGGGGGGGCGCAGACGGGGGTGCAGGCCGTGTGCTTGCCCCGCACGCCCGCCTCTCCGAGCTTCACCCCAAGTTAAGGCCCATGTCTGTCAGCTCCTTCTTTCCATGCTGATTGAGTCTAAGTGCCGGGCCCTCTGGTCGTCGGAGGTAGGCCCCAGTTCCCGCCTACAAGGGCTCCACTGTCTCGGAAGAGGAGTAGGTGGCACACTGTGGGTTGCTCAGTGTGAGCTCAGCCTTACCGGAGGAGTCACTCTTACCCCTTTCCCCACAGCAGCCCCACAGGGAAGGAGCTGCTGTTTTCCTTGGCTTATGGATGAGGAAAGCAAGGCACAGGGCACTTAAGAAACTTGCCTGAGGTCACACAGCTCCTACACGGAGGAACCGCCGTCTGTACCCTGTAGTCTGGCTCTGGGGTGCATGGCTACCCCGCTCCATTATGCTGCCCCCTGAACAGGAAGGATCAGAAGGATGGACAGGGAGACTGCAGTGTGCGGAGTGAGCCTGGCAATGGACAGAGGGCCGCCAGGGGAGAGGTGGCATCTCAGCAGGGCTCGCTCCTAGGAGTTAGCAGAGGCATCAGAGCATGCCACCGCGGAGGTGTGCGAGCCCATCGCACGTCTTGGGAACTCCAGGAGTCGTTTTATATTGTATGTGCATACATATACACACACATACGTATTATACGTACACACACATATGTATGCCCGCATATATGTATACACGTATACGCACACATATTATGGGTATGTACACATATATGTGTACATACCCATATATGCATGGATTTATGCACACATACGCATATACACAAAAACACATGTATATACATGTGTGTAGATATACACATACATACACACATGTATATATGTATACACACATGCACATATACACATGAATATATGCACACACACACGTATATACACTTATACACGTGTATATGTATACATTTACTACGGCTGCATAAATAATCACTCCAAACAGACCAGTGTAAAACAACCATTTCTTTTGTTCATGGACAGTGCAGTTCAGATATTTGGACAGGGCGCAGTGAGGATGGTCTGTCCCTGTGCCTTGCTCTCTGGGTGTCCTCTGGGGGCCCCTCAGCTGGGGTGGGATCTGAAGTCTGGTTCACTCCCGTGTCTGGCAGTTGATGCTGGCATCGGCTGGTCCTCAGTTCCTCCTGCATGAGCCACCCTGGGAAGTCTCTCCCCGTGGGCTGTCTTGGGTTTCTTTGAAGCATGGTGTCCATGTCCAAGGGCAGGCATCTCAAGAGAAGGAACCAGAGGACAGAAGCCCTGATCCCCAGCATCAGATGTCTGGGAGTATCACTTCTGTAGTTGCCACCGTCCCCCCAGATGCAAAGAGAGGGAGGGAGACCCTATCTCCCCCAAGAGGGGTGTCAATGTCCCAGGGTGTGGCCATCTTTGGAAAGTACCGTGGCCACCCTTTAGCTGGACCCAGCTTGGAATGGACATATATATTCTACTTGGCCTTGTGTGGTTTTGGACGTTAGCAGCCCAATGTCAGATTTGGCTCAATGCTCACCCTCCTTTAGCCCCAAAGTTCTCGTCACTCAAGAGTGCTTTGGAGCTCAGTGGAGATTTGTGCCCTCCCCACATATCCTGAGCTACCTCCGTGCCAGGCAGGCAGCATCCAGGTCCTCGGCCCCATCAAGGGACACTAGCCTTTGAGAAAGGCAAGCAGATAGACAGTAATGGCGACCCAGTGAGCACCACAGAATGCCAGCCCCTTTTCTGAATACTGTGCATACTCAAACCACCTGGCAAGGGAGGTACCTCTGTTGTCCCCATTTAACAGATGAGGAGACAGGCACAGAGAGGCCCACGGCTAATCAGTGGCCAACCCGTGTTGCAAACCCTCTGCTGTGTGTCTGTGGAGGGACAGTCACAGCACAGTGTGGTGGGTGCTGTGGATCATGTATATAGGGTGCTACCCATCCCAGCTCTTAAGAGGTTAGAGCAACTGAGTATTATGAAGCACCTCAGAAATACTCCTTTCCAAATTGCCGAAGGCCACTGTTTGCCTGTAGCTCTGTCACCAGGCTGGGATGTACTCCAGTTTAGGGTAGCCCCACGTTTAGGGTAGCCGAGTGTTGGGTTCTGCTTGGGGGAAGAAGTGGGCCCCTTCCAGGGGCCACGGTCTGGGGATCACGCTTAGCCACATTGCAGGGCGGGAAGTACCACACAGTGTCTTCAGATCAGCGGTTCCGTGAGTGAGAATGCACCAGCCTCCATGGCAAGGGGCCAGAGACTTCTCAGGGTACCTCACAGGTTTCATGGGGACCAGGAACAGAGGGAAGGGCACCCCAGGCAATGGGATCAAGAAGGGCAAAAGCATGGAGAGCCTCATAACCGGCTGGGAAAGAGGGGTATCTGGTTGCTGGGAAGGCTGCATGAGGGGTAGGTGGGGTCAGTTCACTGGAAAAACCTTGACCACCAAGCCAGCGGCTACACTGGGATCCTCAAAGCCTCTGTGCTACAGGGGGACAGCAAGGAGCAGATGAGAAGGAACCCTCTGGCTACAGGGCCACTGCTACCTCCCCCTCCCTTCCTGTCCCCTGACCCCATTTGGACCCTCACTGCTTCGCTGGATGCTCCGGAGTTTCCCACGCTCTCTGCCTAATCCTCCTCCTGGGCCTTTTCCTTCTGGCAGCCTCTGCTGCGTCCCCCCTGCTCCTCTTCGCTCTCCCCATCCGTGTCCCTGGTATGTCCCCACGCTCCTAGCATCCACAGGCCAGAGCCATCATCTTGCTGGCCCCGCAGAAATCCTCCAAGCAGGAGATGCTCTAGCATATTGCTAGATTGGTAGCATTGACGACATACTTCTATGCCATCAGTCGCGTTGCTGAGTTGTGTCTTTGTGGTGCTATCGAGCCGCATCCAGAATGAGTCGCCCCAGCCCCCCCCCCAAGACGCCTGTGCTGTGTTCCGTGCACCTCAGAGTTGATGGTGCCGCGTGCACACCAACATGGCACTGCGGGTTGTTGAACGGACAAAGGTGCTCCTGTCTCGATCTTGTTAAAAATTTCTCCTGAGGTCCCTCTAGGGAAAGTTTTATGCTTATCTCCTTGTAGAACTGGGATCCGGAAACACACAAACAGAAAGGTATCTGAAACTAACAAGCAGTCTTAAAGCCAGTACCTTGAACCCGAGAAACGTGCCCGTGGCTGGCTCCCAGCAGCCCCGTAAGCCCGACATGGTCCTCGCCTCCTGCCGTGTCATCGCCTCCTGCTGCATCCTCGCACAATCCAGAACTCTGTGCTAATCGCCTCCTTGTGTTTCTCTGCGGTGTGACCGGCCGCGTTGCGTGTGAACCCTAAACAGCACGACTTACTGTTGCCTGATTTTGAGCACACTTGGAATAGTCCCAGAGCAGGTCCCCGCGTCCCCGAGGCCTTGCTGCCTGTGATGGGGGTGCCCTCCTTTCCACTGCTGTTTAGAATTCCCCTGTCTGTTTGCCCATCCCATTGATTTGAGTGGTTTTCTCTGGATGTTCTTCACAGCCTTGGTCATCTATAATTTCCTGAGCCTGTGCTATGAATACCTCGGGGGAGAAAGTTCCATCATGTCCGAGATCAGAGGGAAGCCCATTGAGTGAGTATGAAGTCTCCCTGGAGCACCGCCCCCCAGCACCCTGTTTCCTGGGCCTGATGTTCTTCCAGCTGTCCTGGCGTCAGCAGGACGCACGGACGCCTCCGCCCTTGACCTGGCTTTGCGGTGCCCCGCCACACTTACCGAGTGACACCGGTCACTGGGTCCCCGGGGGGGAGGGCCTCTCTGGCTCTGCCCCCTCTCTCTTCCTGTCCCTTCCCGTCTGCCTGCTGCTCCCTCTCACCGTGTTCACCTTCAGTGCTTTTTACCTTGGTTTGCTGCCCACTGCCCGCCCCGGCCAGCATAGTCCCGCCCCCTCATGCCCTCCGCGTGTGCACACACTCCCCTGTGCCTCTCCGTGTGCTCGGCCTCCGCCTCAAGGCTGCCTGGGCTCTGTGCCCCATTCCCAGCCCGGCCCACTCTACCTGGGCTTGCGTGGGGGTGAGGGAGGACGGCCGCCTCCAGCCGCACCTTCCCCGAACCCTGGCTGTCTGCCCACCGCCCCTTCCCTGCTCGTCTCTTCCAGGTCCAGCTGTGTGTACGGCACCTGCTGCCTGTGGGGGAAGACTTACTCCATCGGATTCCTGCGGTTCTGCAAGCAGGTGTGTGCCCCCCATAGCCGCCCCGGCCAAGAGTTAGTTACAGGCCAGGGACCAGGAGCCTCTGGCCGTCAAGTGGCGGAGGCGGGTGTGGGGCCTGGAGGACCCGCTCATGGCGTTCCTGCCCCCCAACCCCAGCGCCCACTCCCCACGCTGGTAGGCATGCACGTGCGTTCGCAGAGTGCGCTCCGAGGGGCAGCGGCGGGTGTCCGGAAGACGCCTGTAGTGGCCCTGGGCCGGAAGTGGCCCTGTGCTTTTGCTCAGTTGGACCAAGTCTTGGTGCGTGTGGGAATCGGAAAGTGTGTGGGGATTCTCGAATCTCAGTTTGAGACTTCTCAGCCACCGCAGCTAGAGGCCAGGAGGGCTCCTGTGCAAAAGATGCGAGCCAACACAGGCCTGCGCAGTGTCTGGTCTCTTCCCCACTTCCCAGGGGGCCGCCCGCCAGTTTCCTCGGCTGCCTTCCCTGTGGTCTTGAGTAGCCTGGGCGGAGGCAGCGTGGTGATGTGGTTGAGTGCATGGGCCTGGGTGTCTGCCCATCTGAGTTTGATTTCCAACTTTTCCTCTTGACTGTGTGACCTTGGCTGAGTTATGTAACCTCTCTGAGCCTTACTTAGCCTCTCCTGTAAAATAGGCATAACGATACTTCTCTCAAGGGATGGTGTAAGGAGCAGGTGTGGTGGCAGGTGTCAAGCAGGTAACACACACTGGCACGGAGCCCGCTGTCTCTTATCCAGAGAGGTGCCGTGCCTTGCTAGGGTGACCTTAATTTAGTCTCCCCGGGGGGGGGGGGGTGGCAAGACCCCTGCCAGCCCCTCAAGCATCAAGAGCTGTCACAAGGGGAAATGAAAAACCATAGCCGATCCCTGCTCCCTGCGGCCACCCAAGGTCTGGCCTTTCTTCTCCCCTCTGTGCACGGGGGGTGGGGGCGGGGGCTGCCTGCAGTGTGGACACACCCACAAATCACCCACCTGGAGGTAGCAGGTCTACACTGCTGTTTCCAGCTCTGCCCTCCCTGGGGCAGTCCTAGATTCCCAGTCTCCCCACAGGGCCTGGAGGGAAAGAGTTAAAACTGTCCTGGGGTCGCGGTGGGTGGGGCCTTTCGGAGCCATTGTTTACCAGCCTTTCAGCCGCTGTGACTCACTGCCTTCTTTGATGAGTGCATTGTGTACAGAGTTTTGATCCCATGATCGCTAGCTTGCGTAGCCTCGCTATAAATGATTCCCCAGCCCTGTGGGGTCAGATGTCCTGCTCATTTTCCTGGAGGTGGCAGGGAGAGGGAGTAAAAGGAAAGAGAATAAAAACAGCCTTTGCGCCCCTTTCACTTGGGAGAGAGTTTCCTCCCGAGAAATCCCAGGCCAGCGCCCAGTTTCTGGATCCCCTGGTTCAAGGCAGAGATTCTCTGGCCAGCCACCCCCCACCGCAGCCTGATGGAGGAGGTCTGTTCCGGAGCTCCCGGGCCCGGAATGTGTTTATAGCAACGAGGGTGATTCTGAGGGCTGGCCTGGCTGGAAAGCCCTGACTGATCCAGGGGTGTGGCCGAGCGAAGGCTCTGAGGCCTCTTCAGCTTCTCCCTGCCTCAGTTTCCTCACCTGTAACAGTACTTTGTGGTGGGGCTGCCGTGCAAACAGAGGGATCTGACCCGGATGACACCAGCCCGTAGGCGGGCTCTCAAGTTCTCCCTGGGCACCAACTGCTGCTCTTTTCCCCAAACATTCTGGTCCTGTCCCCTCGAGGCAGGTGGCGGGGCCAGGGAGCTGTGAGGGTTTGCGGGTGGCAGCGTCCATCACACACGCTTCCCCACTGCTCAGCCCCCACCCCCCAGGACTCCCCACAAACTACACTCAGGGCCCCAGCAGGACAGAAACTTGGTTCAGCAAGTTGCTGTCCCTGCCCCAGGGTCCTTGCCCAACTCGGAGCCACGCTGGCTTATCCTTTTTTTTTTTTTAATGCTTTATTTATTTATTTATTTATTTTTTATTTCTAGGAGAGAGAAAGAGAGAGAGAGAGTGTGAGCAGGGGAGGGTCAGAGAGAGAGGGAGTCACAGACTGAAACGGGCTCCAGGCTCTGAGCTGGCAGTCAGCACAGAGCCCGACGCGGGGCTCGAACCCACGAACTGCAAGATCATGACCCAAGCGAAAGTCGGACGCTTAACCGACTGAGCCACCCAGGCGCCCCAATGCTTTATTTATTTTTAAGGGGAGGCTGGGTGGCTCAGTCGGTTAAGCTTTATTTATTTTTAAGAGAGGGCGAGCGATCAGGGGAGGGGCAGAGAGAGGGGGGCAGGGGATCCGAAGCAGACTCTGCACTGACAGCAGCAAGCCCAGTGGGGGGCTCAGACTCACGAGCCATGAGCCAAAGATGGTGCTTAACCAACTGAGCCACCCAGGTGCCCTGGGCTTATCCTTTTAACGCTGCTCCGCCTCTACAGAAGGGGCCTTGTGGTATGACCTGAGGTTTATTGATTTCAAAAGATTGGTGATTCTGGTGGTTATGTGGGCCCCCCCAGGCTGCCCTGGAATTTACTGAGACACCCGGATGCCCTTCAGCCCTGCGGCGTGGGGCTGGTTACGGCTGTTTACCAGTGAGGTGGCTGCTCAGAGACTAACCGCTCACTCTCTCAAGCTTCCCCAGATGGAAGCGAGGCCAGGATTCAGACTCCAATTCGGGACTCCAGACCTTGTGCTTTGGGCTGCTCCCTTTGTTGTGCTCCTGGAGGGTCCCCTCCAGCCCCAGGGAGATCCCTAGCCCGGTATAAACCGGCACGGGGCCAGGAACCAGACGGCGCTGGATGGGGAGGCCTCGAGCCCTGGCCCCTTCCCTGCCTGCTGTCCGTCACCGGTGTCTTCCCCCTTGCCTGTGTCTGCTCTCAGCCTCCCAGTCTCCATAGGAGATGCTCGCTCTGCCCGTTCTCCTTGTCTTTCTGGTACATTCCTTCTGGCCCTGTTTCTGAGGAGCCCTCTCTGCTGGGCCCTCCTGTCCTGTGCTCCTGTGCCCCTCCAGTGGCTGTCCTTCCTTCCTTCATCCTTCCTTCCTAACATCTGTCTGTCCGCTCGCACAGCTGCATTGCACTGCTGTCCTCCCACAGAATCCCCCTCCCCCTCCAGACAGCAGTTCCCTCGGGGCGGAACGTGGGGCCCCCCGGCCCACCCCCCAGCATCCAGCACAGGCCCAGCTGGCCGGAGGAGGTGCTTGTCACCCGGTTTCCCTTGCTCAGCCCCAACTCTTGACCTTCTCCCCGACCAGGCCACCCTGCAGTTCTGCGTGGTGAAGCCACTCATGGCTGTCAGCACTGTGGTCCTGCAGGCCTTCGGCAAGTACCGGGACGGTGACTTTGAGTAAGCAGCGGGTCCCCCTGAGGGGCGTGGGGGGAGGAGCGCGGGCTCAGGAGTGGGTGGGTGATGCCCTGCCTTAGGGAAAGGGGTGGTTGTAGACTGGCTGCCCGCCCGTGACCTTCCTTGGAGGGGAGGCTGAGCACAGCCTCCCTGCACCCCCGAGTTGCAAGGCCCGAGCCTGGCCGTGACGGCCGTCACACTTGCCCCTGCCTCCAGCACAGGAGCCAGCCTGCCGCACACATGACCTTCACCGACAGCCTACTGAGTGGTGCCCCAGGGGTGGGTCAGCAAGGAACAGTGACCACCCCCGAGGCAGGGAGCAAGGTCAGAGCCCCGACAGGCCCGTTACGAGTCCCTGGGTAGAAGACTTCTCCTGTGTAGATTTCATTTCGTTTTGGGGGTTAGTGAAAGTGCCGTGTGTCCAGGCCCTGCGCCTGCAGACACTTTGTACCCCCTGCACCCCACATTACAGCCTCACCAGGGCAGGTAAGCAGACCGAGGCTCAGAGGGGGACATGACTTGGCTCCAGAGAAAAGAGCAGAATTGAACCCTGTGTCACTCTGACACCTGTCCCCTGACCATCGGGAGGAGCCCCCACCCCTGCGGCTGCTGGCTTCCATGTTGGCGTCCCCCCCAGGGGCCCAGGCACCAGGGCTGCAGGCAGGTGGCTTGGACACACCCGCGGGCAAAGTGGAGGCGGCAGAGCTGGCCGGCGCCCCAGGGTGCGCACCCTGGCACACCTCCCCACCCCGCCCCCCGGTGTTTTGGCTGCTTTGATCCCTCTCTCGGTGGCTCATGGGGTTAGGCATCCTGGAGGGGTAGAGGAGGGAGGGAGGCCCCCACGTCCCTCAGAAAGCTCTGTCCAAGCCAGAGAACTTTCCGTGTTCCCACAGTGTCACCAGCGGCTACCTCTACGTGACCATCATCTACAACATCTCCGTCAGCCTGGCCCTCTACGCCCTCTTCCTCTTCTACTTTGCCACCCGGGACCTGCTCAGCCCCTACAGCCCCGTCCTCAAGTTCTTCATGGTCAAGTCCGTCATCTTCCTCTCCTTCTGGCAAGGTGAGCCTCTTCCCAGCCCCTGTGAGGCCACCTCGTGCTGCCCCGTCCCCTGAAATCTGTCCCCTCTTCCTGCTCTTCGTCACAGTTCCCGTGCTGTCCCTGGGCAAGCCCAGCCTGGAGCCCAGAGGGTCTCTGTCCACCGGGCACCTCCTGGCTGTGGGGCATCTTCCGTGGGGCCACTTCATGAATGGGGTTCCAGGGAACCCCACATAATCATTGACACCTCAGTGTTGGTAGCCTACAAGGAGCCAGTGGAGGGGGTTCCCAGAGGCCTCAGCTTTGTGTCGGCCTCCCTACCCCACAGGACCAACCACGGACCCCGCTGTCATCCTTTCTGGCAGGAGTGGCACTCGGGAGTGTTCCAGGGAGGAAAGGGGACCGGGGCAGGGGTCCAGTCTAGGGCCACATGCCCGTGCCTCCCCTTCCAGGCATGCTCCTGGCCATCCTAGAGAAGTGTGGGGCCATCCCCAAGATCCACTCGGCCCGCGTGTCCGTGGGTGAGGGCACCGTGGCTGCCGGCTACCAGGACTTCATCATCTGCGTGGAGATGTTCTTCGCGGCGCTGGCCCTGCGGCACGCCTTCACCTACAAGGTCTATGCTGACAAGAGGCTGGACGCACAAGGTATGAGCCAGGGTCCTGGAGACGACTCCCTACCCCGCCCCAGGGCCCCTCCTGCCCCCCCTAGTGTCTGACGGGTGGTGACCGGTCAGGTGTCTCCTGTTGACTTGTGGGAAAGGGGACACAGAGGTCAGGGCTCTCCCGCCCCCAGCCCCCCACACAAGGTCGCAGGGAAGTCCGGGAAGCCTGGAGCACCTTCTCTTGCAGCAGGCCTGGAGTGTGGAACACCACCCGCCCCCCCCCCCCCCCCCCCCCCCCCCCCCCGCAGATGCTGTAGTGCCATATCCCTCCCCGCAAGGCCAGGGCGGAGACCCTAGAATAGACAAGTGGCTCAGGGCTCCTCACGTCAAAGGCGGCTTTCCTTCTGTGCTCTAATTCCCTTCTCTCTAAAGTTCTTTTTAACAGGGGTTACTTCTAAGAAACAGACTCAGATGGTAATAGCTCTTAATAGCTTTCTTTTTACACCTGCCCATCTTCCTCTTCGTGAGAAGAGCTTGGCACCCTATGGTAATGCCAAGGAAAGCCTTTCAGAATCCCGTGTCTGGGCCCGGCGACAGGGGCTGCTTTCCGAGCTCCCCAAGGGCCTGGGGTCAGGGGACCTGCCTCTGGCTGCCACGGGACAGAGGGGGGATGGTGGGGGGAGGATGCGAATGTCTGAAATGACTTCTGCAGGGTCTGGGGAGGGGACGCTTCCGGTCTAACGTGTCCAGCCCGGGGTTGGGCTGCCGCCGGCTCCCTTCCTTGTGGCTGGAGGAGAGAACCCCACTTCCCCAGGCCTAGCGGCCAGGCCTACCACAGGCCCCGGGGACTGGGAGGTGGGGAGGGCTGCTGCTGGGCCCCTCAGCCCCCCTCTCCTTCTTCCTCGCTGGAAAGAGACCCACTGGACGCTTGTGGAGTGTCGCTCAACTCTTAGAGGCGCCCAACTGTGTTCTCCCTGCACACTTGCTGGCCGAGGCCTGTAGGCACCCCTGCTCGGTGACGGGCATCGTGCTGACCACGCCCCACTGCTGCAGACTGGGGACCCACCCACTTCCTGCTAGGCAACCCCCCCACTGCAGGGATCTGGCAAACACCCACCCAGGGTTGAGAACGATGTCCCTTGGACTTGGTCCCGACAGAGCCTGCGCCCATAGGAAAGGCAGCATCGTGCCTGGAGCCGGGGGCCACAGCAGAGAACCCTTTCTGGGCCCTTGAGGTGTACAGTGGCCCACACGGTGGCTTCTGAGGCTCTCTGCCCACCCGCGGCTCCCAGACATCCACCCCTGCAAAACAGAGCATGGCCGAAGTACAGCTCTGGCAGAGACGCAGGCCAGCCGTACCAGAGAAAGGCAGGACCCCTCCTCCGCACGGGGCCTGGGCCTGTTGCTGCCCACGCGCCAACCCCTCGGCCCTCCAGTCAGGCTGGGGTCCAGAGCCACCTCTACCATGGGATCTGTACAAGAAAACACCCCCGCCGGCCCCCCAGCCTCGCCGGCCTCACTTGTGAAGTGCAGTGAGGTCTGTGAAGCCCACGGCACAGCCCTAGCCATTCCAGCCAAGACTGAACAGAAGAGGGGGCGGCAGGTCCTGACTTAGATGTGGCGGCTGCTGTGCCCTCCCCCGGAAGCGCCAGCCCTGTGGGGGGAATCATCCCTAGGGGACATGCCCTGCCAGGTGCCAGGCTTCTGGGGGCAGCCGGGGCTGCCCGGGTGCTAGGTGGGGCCTGGCAGGGAGGCGGGGCGGGCGTGGGGTTCAGTGTGCTGGCCTCCTCGGTGGCAGGCAGATGGTGTGACTCAGCTGTCTCTTGTCTTCTCTATTTCTCTGGCTTCTCTCCCCCTCCCCGTCCCCCCTCCGCCCTGCTTTTGCCCCCGGGTTTGGCCGCGGGCAGTACCGACATACGGCCCTTACGGTAGGTTCTGCTCTCGGTCTACGCGTCTTGTCCTGCACGTCAGTCCTGGTCACTGTCACCGGCATGCCTCTCCCCGTTAGCCCCTTCTCTGTGTCCCTGTCTCCCCGCACAGGCACCCCCAGGCGGCGGAGCTCAGAGCACCTGCCTGCCAAGGGCTGCCCTCCGTAGAGCTCACTTGCTTCCACCCTGGTCTCTCTTTGTTCTGGAATATGCCATGCTGGGTTCTGGGGGCATAACGCTTGTTAATGGGAAATCTGTGGCCAAGAACTTGAAGGTGGAAAGAGCATGCCAAATTCGAATTGGAAGACCTGGGCTTATCTCTTACCTCGACATTTTGTGGCCTGGGCCAGTTCTGCCCCCTTCACCCATGGGGACAGTTCATGAGAGAGGGAGTTAGGAGGAAGCACATCCGGGTCCAGGCTACTGGCTTCCACCCTCTCGGAGGGGAGCCTGCGAGGACTTACGAGTCAGCGCGTCTGTGGGCCCGAGGCCCCTGGCGGCCTGTCCTGACAGAGCTGCTCAGGGCAGACACTGGTGCCCTTCCCAGAGTGAAGGGGGCCCCCTGAGGGGGTCCCCAACACTCCGGCCTCCCTGGGACATGCCTGCAGGCTGCCATTCTCCACGCTGGGTCCTTTCCCGGTGGCCAGACTCACTGGCGCCCCCGGTGGCTGCTTACCTTGGCACCCACTCTGTGCCCTGGCCAGAGGGGCCCTTTCTTTTTGCCTGTGCCATCTCATGTTGGGGCGGGGGGACGTTCTCCGGTGCAGGAGGAGGAGGTTGGGCGACCCAGCCTTGGGGTGGGTGGCAGCCCCAGGACCAGGGGCCTCCTGCCACCCCGGCCCCTCGGCCCTCACCCCTGCACCTGGGCTCCTGCCCCCGCAGGCCGCTGCGCCCCCATGAAGAGCATCTCCAGCAGCCTCAAGGAGACCATGAACCCGCACGACATCGTGCAGGACGCCATCCACAACTTCTCGCCCGCCTACCAGCAGTACACACAGCAGTCCACCCTGGAGCCCGGGCCCGCCTGGCGTGGTGGTGCCCACGGCCTCTCTCGCTCCCACAGCCTCAGCGGCGCCCGCGACAACGAGAAGACTCTCCTGCTTAGCTCTGACGACGAGTTCTAGGTGCGGCCGCTGGCGGGGAGGATGGGCGCCGGGGCCCGCGGTCCTCTGCACGGGCCGGGAGGCAGGCGGGCACAGCGTTGGCAGCGTGCCCATTAATTTATTGGACCAGAGATACTCACATATCGCTTCCGAAAGAACAGCCAGGAGCTCTCTGCCCAGGGGACAGCCCAGGCTCGCGCCCAGCCTTCAGGAATATTTATACAGGGCCACCCCTGCGCTGCTGGGCGAGGGACGGAGGAGGCCGGGAGTGACTCCCGTGCCTCTGTGGCTCGTCCCGCGGCAGTGGCGGCGGCACATTGGGACCAGCTGTGGCCATGGTGGACCAGCGGCCGCAGCCCTCTCAGCCCCGACGTGGGTCACCCGCTCCCCCGTGAGACTTCCGGCCCTGCCGCCCACACCGTGCAATACTCTGACTGGGGCTCCTGCCTGCCTGCTCCCTCCCTTGTGCCCCCCCCCCGGCCTTGCTAGATTAGCCTCACCTCGGGCAAGAGGGGGAGGTCGGAGCCCCGCTACTCCCCGGGGCCCCTCCTGACCCCAGGGCCTGCCTGGCATGCTGCAAGGACCAGAGCCACGCGTCCCCTGGTGGAAGGGTGCTCAGGCGCACCGGGCCCCTCTTCTGTTGACTAGACGTCTCCCAGCAGGGGTCTCCGGGCCCCTGGGTGTCCTCTGCGCGGCTGCCCGTCCTGCCTGCCTCGTCCCCCTTCCTCCCGGCTTGCCAAGGGCAGCCAGCAGCCCCACTGCCCTAGCCCTTGGGGTCTGTCTGCTTGAGAGCATTTGGGGCAGGGCCCTGGCTTCCTGGCGGCTCCCAGCCCTCCCTCCTGCCGGGGCTGAGCAGTGAGACCCTCCGCGGGCCCTGGGCTCTCCCTAGGGCTTCTCTTCCCCGCCTCAGGGGAAGGGTCTGAGTTTCCACATCTCAGACCAGCTTCTGGAGGAACGTGGCCCCGTGGGAGGGAGGACGGAAGGATGGGGCACGCGGCAGCGAGCTGGGAGGTGGGCGTGGCGACCCCAGCCTCCTCTCCCTGGCGCCGCGTCCACACAGGGCCTGGTGTCCTGCCTCGGCTGGCCCCTCGGCCCATCTCTTCTGTGCCTTAGTCACATATGAAAGCTCCCCCTTCCTAGGCCCTCAGTCTGTCTGGTCGCAGGCAGCCGCTGGGGGCGCCCTATCAAGCTGCTGGCGCTCAGGATCCTGCAGTGCTGGGCCAAGCACCCTCGGACAGGCCTTAGGGGTGGCCGGGATCACCGGTCCCCTCCCCTCGCTCACCTCCACACCCATATACCTGGAGCCTCCTAGGGCCGGGCCCCCCCACCCCCCAGGCAGTCAGGGCTTACGCCGGCCACTGTCACCCAGCCACTGTCGTAGGCAGGGCCTCGTGACATAACGGTGTATGTTCATACAGGTGGAGCCTTCTGGGGTCTGAAACCTGGATGGCGCCGGGGTTTGGGCCGCAACAGCCTGGAGAAGGTGTCAGGGTGAAGAGGGGCCCTGCCCTGTGGCACCAGAAGTTCACCAAGGAGTCTCTTCCTTTTGGTTCATTACTGGAATGAACTGTGCCAAGGGTCTGCTGGGGGAGGGCGGGGGGCGGGTTCCACGCCAGCCATCTCCCCAGGCTTCCTTTGGCCTTTGTGACCAAGCCAGCGCCTCTGGGTCCCAGAGGCCTGTGTGCAGGCTCCTGGAGGCCAGCTCTCCGGCCCTGGCCGGCCGGTACCAAACTGCCCCGGAAGGAGCAAGTGGGAGCGGCCATCTGAGGAGACCCTCTGTCCCCGCGCCCACCTCCGCTTTCACGAAGCTGTTTCTTTGACTCTCCTTCTGGGGCCAACATGTGCCGCCGACCCCCTGCCCCCTTGGTCTCTGCCCGCCCTGGCACTGGCCGCCTGGCGTGGTCTGGGGGGACACGGAGGGGGCCTCAGTGGCAAGGAAGTTAGTGGCCCAGGAGATGAGGGCCCAGGAATGTGTGCCTGCCCACTCCACCCCTCCTTCCTAGGATGCGTAACCTACCTGTTTTTTTTTGTTGTTGTTGTTGTTTTTTTTAATTTTCCCCCCCGGTAGAGTAGCTCTTTGTACATAAAAGATACTTGAAAAATTAATTGTATGATGTATGAGAGGACAGAGTCCCCTAGTTTTGTATCTCGTGTGTGACTGCCATGAGTTCCACCAGAAAGCCGCTCTATTTTGGTCTCTGACATTTTAAATGCGTGACAGAAGTGAGCAAATAAAGTGAGAAATCTATATATGAGATAATATAGATTGTATTGAAATCTCTTCTGCCTGTGGGTGAGATTCTTTCCTTCCTCTTCCCGGCCTCCCGTGTGCGCGCCTGGGGGTGGGCTGAGTGGCCGTGGGCAGGGGTGTCCTAGGAAACGGGGTGACGTCTAGCTCACGGGGGAAACCACATCACCGGAGGCTGACATTGGGGTCCAGGCTCCCACTGGACACAGCGTCTCCGTCTCCTCCAGCCAGTGGGACAGGGTGGCAGCTCTGGTCACAGGGTCCCACCCTTCCCTCCCCACAGGGCTGGTGGGTGCAGAAGCTCCCCCTTCTGTCAGCCAGCAAAGCGGGGGGCCGGCGAAGGGCAGCCCCATTCCTGCAGGTTCCCCTGGGGGGTTGGCGGGGCACCTACTCTTTCCAGGTATCTTCCTACCTCCCTGAGCCCACCCTCCACATGGGACCCTAGGTACCCGCCCCCCCCCCCCCGCCGCAGGGGTAAGGACGCCTGGGGCGGGGCCTGCTGGGCAGTGGGCTACCAGGCCAGGTGTCTAAGGGGCCCGGGCACCTTCCCGCCACAGGCCTTTGGGGAGGAGGAGCCGGCCTGCTGACAGGAGCGCTCAGGAATGCGGCGTGGGTGGGGGGACTTCCCAGCCACCAACCAATCTCCACTTGTCCGGGACCCTGGCTTCCTGCTGCTCAGGCCTGAGCTCAGCATCCCAGGGTCAGGGATCAGGGTCGAGGGCCTCAACCTGAGAGGGGGACAGAGGCCTGAGGATGGAGCCAACCCATATGGCTTGCCGCCCCCCCCACCCCACTTCCACAGACGTGTCCTTCCCCGAGCCCAGCCTTGCTGTCTCTGCGGACTGAAAGCCTCCTCGCTGCTGGCGTCTGTACCACCGGGAACCTTTCCTCTGCGTGTTCCAGCCCGCAGCCCCTCGGGTTCCCGACGCGCGTCCCACCTGTGCCCTTCAGCGTGCACGTGGGCAGACAGACGGGCGAGAAGCTAAATGAGTCACCAAAAGTCCCGCAGATCCAAACTGCCCCCCCCATCTCCCTGACCACTCCGCTCTCAGGGTGTCCCCGAAGGGCTGGCGGCTTGGGTTGAAATTCATTACAATGAGTTTGGAGCCCCAGAGGCACGGGGTCGCCTTTTAGGCCTGCAGGCTGGGACTGAAGAAGTCACTTCTCTCTGGCCTGCACACCCCCCTTCGGCCCCCCACCCCCACCCCCATGCCTTCCGGAACATGGGGAAAATATTTTCGACTTGGCTGTAGAAAATCAGACCTCGGTGGGAAAGTGCTGGAATGATTACTCTTAAATCCGGGAATTTTCCTCTGGGCGGGACTGTTTATTCACTGAAGGGATGCCAGAGAATTTAACCCTACATTTCATTGTCCTCCTGGTATTTTCTTCCCCTGGGAGGCTCCAGACGGAAGAACCGAGGTTTTGGCAGCTGACAGCCCCGGCGCTAGTGAGCTAGTGAGGGCTGATGGCTGATGGGCGCAGTTTCGTTTCTTCGTTTGCAAATTGGAGCGGAGGGTCCGGACCCTGGGTTGAAAGCAGAACTCTACCTTTCAGAGCCCCTCATTCAGACCCCACCCACCTCCCCACCCCACAAAAGATCACAGCCCAGAGCCTTCTCCTCTGTGGAAAAAGAGAACTTGACTTTATTCAGAAAGTCTACAAAATACAGAAGGCGGATAACTCGCTTACTGTAAGTCAGAAAATAAATAAATTCTAGGGGCCGGGCGAATTTTTTTTTTTTAAACATTTTTTTGGTCGCTGTCATCCGGCTTTCCCTAAATATAAGATAAAATGTGATTTATCTGCAGATATAAAATATAAAGTCCAGCGCAGGGCCACACACCACTTTTCCCAAGGAGTGGGTGCTAGGTTTCTGGCTGGGGAGAATAACTTAGATTAGTGCAATAAATAAACAGCGGGGAGGGACAGCTGTATGGGGGAGGGGGCGCAGGGAGGGTGGGGGCTGGGCTTCCCAGGAGACTGGCAATAGATGACAGGGGCCAGCCCCCAAGCCAGGGTAGACATTCCCAGGGGGAGGGGTGGGACCCTTCCTTTCTCAGGACCCCCACCCCTGGCTGCAGGACTTCTGGATCTGTCTTCTCATCTTCCCACCTGCCACAGTGGGTGGTCACATCCTTGGTCCCCTTTCTCTTTGGCCAGCTCCTTCCATCTCCTCCACTGTATCACCTTCTCTGGCCCTCTACTTCTCTTCCCCTAACTCACAGAGGCAGCCCCCCGGGGCCCAGGGAGGCCCTTCCATCACCTTTTCCGGTCCATCCATGTCCACAATCCCCCTGACAATCCCGCCTGGATCCCCCCCGCTGGAATCTCGGGAGTAAGAAGACCTAGCTTTTCCAGCTCAACCACTAAGCCCAGATGGCCTTGGGCACTGGCATGGCTGCTTGGAGGCCTGTATTCCCGTCTGTTAACTGACCTTCACCAGGCCACTTCTGATGATTCTCCCAGCTTTGGAAAGCCAGGCACCCCGGGGCCCAAAGAGGAGGTGGGAGCATCAGCTTTCCAGCCCCAAGAGACATATAGAGCCTAACCTAGTCTTAAATCCTGGGGGAAGGAGGGGGGCGGCTATGGCACGATCTGAGCAAACAGTTTACAGAATGAGGGGTGGCCCTCTTCGCCCGGACAGCCCTTCTCTGATCTGCTCTGTACCCCATCCTCCCAGCCTAAGAAGGCTGGCCTCTCAGCCCCAAGAAACCCCAGCCTCCAGCCCCACCCTACCATTCTCACCAAAGTTGCCCCACCCCAGGGCCACCTATCGGGTCCTATAGGGGCTCCAACGAGGAAGACAGCAGGCTCGGGAGGGAACATGTGTTCACCACAAGGGCTGGTGGCTGCAGAGAAACAGGCACCAGGCACCGGGGACAGAGACCACTCTTAGGCACTTTGGGAAGGAAGAGGGGAGGGGGGGGGCGGGGGGCGGGGCTTGGGAGGGGCGGGCACTAGGAGCAGGCGGCGGGGGCGGGCCCGGGGGCGGGCCCCGGGGCGGAGACGGGGCCCGGGCCTGGGGCCGACTTGACGATGGTGATGACGCTGGCGGGCGCCACCAGCGCGGCGGGCCCGCGGGTGGCGGCCACGGAGCGCGCGAAGCCCTGCAGCGCCTCGCACTTGCCGCGCAGCGCGTCGAGCTCCAGGCGCATGGCTGCGTTCTCGCGCGCCAGCTTGTCCACCTCGCGCTCCAGCTCCGACTTCTGCTTCTGCAGCTCCTCTTTCTGGCACACGCGCTTCACGCGGCAGCTGGCCGCGTAGCCGCGGTTCTTGAGCGTGCGACGTCGCTGCTTGAGCCGCGTCACCTCCTCGGCCGAGAGCCCGCGCAGGTGCCGGTTCAGCTCGCGCACCGACAGCCCCATCAGCGCCTCGTCCGACAGGTGCGGCGTGTTCTCGCTCAGCTCACGCTTGATCTGGGGGACAGCACGTTGAGCGCATGGGGAGACTGAGGCCCGAGGTCGCACCCTGCCTCTGGGCCCCACCCCTGGGCCTGGCGCGCGGCAGGTGCCGGACACGGCTCACCGTCCATCCCCGTAGGCCCTAATGCGGCGGCCGGACTTGTTCCAAGGCCCCGAAGGGAGGCAAGGAATCCAGAAAGGGGAAACTGGGCCAGACCAGAATCTGAACATAAAAGGAGCCACCACACCAGGGCTCGGCTCACAGTCTAAGCCAGTGCCCCAACCTGGACTAGGCCAGCGAAACCTGGCCCAGAAACCACCTCTGAAGTCCTACAGCCCAGTGAGCATTGTTCCGATGGGGAAGCTGGCCCAGAGAAGAAAATACCCCCCTCCACCTCCCCCGGCACACAGGCTGTGATCAGGCCTCCTGCTTTCCGGCCCAGGGCCCTTCCGGGGGCCTCATGAACGCCTGAAGCCCGGCCACCCTTGAAGATTCCAGTAACAGAAGACGAAGCTGGGATGGGATGGGACAGTCAGCCTCTAAGCAAGGAGGGAGGGGGAGAACAGGGACAACAGGGACTATGTCCTCACCTTCAGGGCTTTGCTGGATAAGGGGTCCACAGACATGTTTTCAGAAGGTGCCCTCTGGGCTCAGACCTAGGAGAGAGAGGAGCCCAAGGTTACTTTCTCTTCTACTTAGAATAAAGCCCAAACTCACTACCTTGGCATTCAAGGCCTCTGCTGTTATGGAAGTCCTGTCATACCACCTTTCTCTGTCCCAGTGGTCCATTCCAGCCTCAGGGCCTTTGCACTTGCTGCTCTCTTGACTGTTCTCTTCCCTTTCATCTTCCCATAGTGACTCTTCATCATGTAGGGCTTTGCCCGATGTCACCTCTTCAAAGGGGTCTGCTAACCCTCATAACAATCACCTCTTCTGCAATTATTTTGTTTCATTCTTGGTTATCTGTCTCTGTCCCGCCTTTTCTCCACCAAAATGCAAACTCACGAGGATCGAGGCCTTGCCTGTTGTACTACAGCATCAGTGTGCCTAAGTCAGTGCCTAGCACACAGCAGGTGCTCAATAAAAATGCATCAAGCAAATGGATTCCCCTCTCCCCCAGCCATCCTTCTGCACGGGGTCCAAATATGTCTATTTGATTGTTTTTAACTTCTCACTAAAGTATAACCTACATACACCAAAGCACCCAAAATATATTTGGGGCACCTGGCTGGCCCAGTCAGTAGAGTATGTGACTCTGGATCTCAGGGCAGTGATTTTGAGCCCCACATGACATGTAGAGCTTATTTAAAATAATAATAATAATAAATGCACTAGTCAATGACTTTTTCAGAGTTCAACCAGCACCCCATCAAAATAAAACATATTGGGCACCTGGGTGGCTCAGATGGTTAAGCATCTGACTCTTGCTTTTGGCTCAGGTCCTGATCTCACCATTCATGGGTTCGAGCCCCACACCTGGCTCAGTGCTGGCAGCATGGATCTGGCTTGGGATTCTTTCCCTCTCCCTCTCTCTGCCCCTCCCCCACTCACACGCCCATGGGCACATTCTCTGTCTCAAAATAAATAGGGGCGCCTGGGTGGCTCAGTCGGTTAAGCCTCCCACTTCGGCTCAGGTCATGATCTCACAGTTCGTGGGTTTGCGTTGGGCTCTGTGCTGATAGCTCGGAGCCTGGAGCCTGCTTCAGATTCTGTGTCTCCCTCTCTCTCCACCCCTCCCCTGCTTGTGCTCTGTCTCTCTCTCTCAAAAATAAACATTTACAAATAACAATAATAAAAAAGAAATAAATAAAGTTGAAAAAACACATACCCCTCCTCCCTCTTCCCCAGCCCAAGCCTTCCTCACCAAAATTAAGCTTCTCTGCTCGGCAGCCACCAGCACTAATTCAGCACCCCCCGATCCCCCCACCCCCCCGGTCAGACAGGGCAGCCATACCTAAACTGATGAGGGGCCCGGTGGCCTTCAATGTATCCCCGTGGGCATAAAACCTCTATGTTCCTTCAGCAAATATTTACTGAGCATCTACGGTATGCCAAGCATTGACACTGGGGAGACATGGAGGGTACATTGTGGAGGCCAGCGCCCATTGCTAGGGGCCAGGAAGGCGACTGTCTCCCAAAGCCCCCTGTTAAAACAGCAGTCCTCTCTGTCCCCAGCAGATCTGATCTCTCCCATTCACTGTTAGCCTGTGCTTCCTCACCTGATGCCCCCACAGGGAGGCAGGACTAGAGCACAGAGGAGGGGGGGAGGGGGAGGGAAGATGCCCTGTGACCTGAGATGCAGCACCCTATCAATTCACATTAGCAGTGCCCCATATGATACCAGCAGGGGCAAATGAGGGCACACCCTGGTTTCTCAAGCTTTCTGCAAGGCACACCTCACCTCCGACACATCCCCACAGGCCCCGGGTGTCCCTGTGGGGAACTGGAAAGTGCACGGACTTGGGTGCCAGACACACCAGGAGCCTTTTGATGGTGCTTCCGCTCACCACCTCTGATTCTGGTAGATGAGATAACTGCTCTGTGCCTCAGTTTCCCCCACAGAACGCATTAGGCCACTCGTGTTATTTGTCCCTTGGGCCCCTCCCGTGGTTCCCATCTTTCTTGGGAGCAAAAGCCGAAGTCATCACAATGGCCCGCAACCCGCATGGAGTGGCTCCAGTGTACGCCTCTGACTTCAGCTTCTGCTTTGGCTCCCGTTCCCTTGCTCTGCTCCGGCCACACCCTCCTCCTTGCTGTTCCTCAACAAACCACGCAGGCTCTTCCCCAGGGCCTTTGCACCGGCTGTTCCCTTGGCCTGGCTTTCTCTTCCCCTAGAGGGCCACAAGGCTTGCTTCCTAGCTTCAGGTCTCTTTTCAAATCTCATGTTCTCACTCAGTTTAGAATTTAGAATTTAGAATCCCAGCCCTGGATACTCTCCTCTCCATCTCCTTTTCCTATCTCATATTTCTTCATGGTACTTTCCACTATATGTAATTGCTATTACGTCTGTTGTACCTGTTTGTTCAGTGTCTGCCTCCCCATCAGAGTGCCAGCTCCATGGCAGTGGACATTTGTCTCTGCCTTTGTTTTGTTTTGTTTTGTTTTGAATTTTTTTTTAATGTTTTATTTATTTCTAGGAGAGAGAGACAGCGTGAGCAGGGGAGGGTCAGAGAGAGAGGGAGTCACAGACTGAAACAGCCCCAGGCTCTGAGCTGGCAGTCAGTACAGAGCCCGACGCGGGGCTCGAACCCACGAACCGCGAGATCATGACCTAAGCGAAAGTCGGACGCTTAACCGACTAAGCCACCCAGGCGCCCCTGTCTCTGCCTTTGTGCAGGTGTCTGGGGCCTGGCACACGGCAGGTGCCCACTCAATCCTGCGGAATTACAGGTGGGATGCTTGGTGTGGCTCAGGCTGATGTGCAGATAAGCCCCAGGCTTCCCTGGAGGCCCCCAGCTCCTCTGGCCCGCACAGCCGGGGGCCCTGACGCCCCAGAGGACGGCCAGGAGGGGGACAGGAGGGGAAGGTGGCACTTGAAAGGATCCCCGGAGAGAGGCAGCCACCGTGGCCCTCGGGCCGGGAGGGCCCTCAGGACCACCCAGGCTTCTTGCAGTATAGCTGAGTTCCAGAAAGCCCCAAGTAGGGCCCTGGCCTTTCACAGACACTACCTTGAGACCCTCGCACACCACCCCTACCACTCCTAGTCTTCAATACAGGCCTCTTCCATCGTCACCTTCCCGCCCCGCACACACCTAGGGAGGGCCTAGAAGGCTCCTGGGCTGGCCTCCGTTCCTCCTCCACACAGCAACTGGAGGGTCTCTCCACCAGGCGACTCTGACCATGACCCAGATGAAAACCTTCCACGGCTCCTTACTACCCCTGGAACAGCGTCTATGCCCCGAGGATCATGTTCCATCCCTGCCTGCCTCCGTTTGGCATCGCAGTCACGCAGAATTGCTCTCTTTCACTTCCTCGCTCCCACACTCTGGCGTCTGGGCAACCCCACACCCTGTGACACTTCTCCTGTGACTGTATGTGGCAGACTTCTCCTCATCCTTCTGCCCTGGGCCCAAACAACTCCTCCTCCAGGAAGCCCTCCCTGACCGGTGCCGCCCACCCTAGTACCTCTTCTCCCCTATCTTGTGATCGTCTATTTCCTTGCTGTCTCCCCATCTGACAGGGACCGGGCCGAAGCAGTTCTGGGTGCTGAGGCCACCAGCACTGGGCCCAGCAGGGGGCAGGCGCTGGTAAGATGTGGGTGGGCAGTCCCTGACACCATGACCCAGCTTGTCAGCGTCTGAAAAGCCCAAGCCGAGCTGAATAGGGTCCAGGAGAAAACCTCCCTGGCTCTGGTTCCAATTCTTCCTCCGTTCCACCTGCCTCCTCCTGCCTGGCGAGGATGGTACCCAGACGCTAGGGAGATGGGAAGGGGCAAAAGCGATTCCGCCCTCACCATCACCATGTTTGGCCGCCAGGTGGGGGATGAGAAGGAAGGGGCACTGGATTGAGTCAAACGTGGGTTTGAGTCCCATCTCTGTCTTCCCCAGGCTGGGCGGCCTCGGGCAAGGCCCTGCACCTCTCTGGGTCTCCGCTTTTCCAATTCTTGGATCAGAACGATACCCGCCAAACAGGGTTTTGGAGGAACCAAGTGGTGTAGAACGTAGCGGTCAGTGAGCGCCAGGGGTTATTAGAATTGCTGAGTCCGTCCGGGAGGGGTCAGGCCGGTAGCACGCACTGACCTTGCTGTGACTCAGTGTCTCCTAGCTGGCTGGGGTCACACGGGAAAGGCCCTTGGAGAGCATCCAGCCCTGCATCTTCGCTTTTCCCAGGAGGAGGTGGACGCCCACAGAGGGCCATCTCTTGCTTGAAGTCACACAGCAGGTGAGTGGCTGCCTCCCTCCTCCCCCCGAAGTTGGGGGGAGCTCTGAACACGTGTAAAGGACCCAGAGCTGGACTGGACCCCTTTCATGCCAGTGATCTTCCTGATAGCCCTGTGAGGTCATGCCCAGTGTGGTCAGACAGGGAAGTCCAGGGTTACACACAGAGACACCCGACAGGAGACGCAGATTAGCTGAGAGCCCATTGGCCGCTGAGTGCTGGGGCTGATGCAGAACCTCGGAGGCACAGCCTGACCCTCAGGCAACAGAGGAATCTCTGGGCCTTGGTTTCTTCACTTGTAAAGCAGGGACAATCATAACAGTCGAAGTGCGCAAAACACAAGAGACTTAGACAAGGTCAGGAGTGGCCAATGGCTGGCTTGCCTCACCATCACCCCTCCTCCACTCTCTCTGCAGGCATCACTAATCAATCACAGCACTGTCCCCCACTGAGCTTGGAAACAGCCTGGGTAGGGGGGCGCCTGGGTGGCTCAGCCAGTTAAAAACATCCGACTCTGGCCCAGGTCGTGATCTTGCGGTTCATGAGTTCGAGCCCCGCGTCGGGCTCTGTGCTGACAGCTCAGAGCCTGGAGCCTGCTTTGGATTCTGTCTGCCTCTCTCTGCCCCTCCCCTGCTCGTACTCTGTCTCTCTCTCTTTCTCTCCCAATAAACAAACAAACAAACAAACAAATAAATAAACAAACATTAAAAAAGAAAAGAGACAGCCTCGGAATCCTTCTCAACACAACGCATACGACCCTCCAGAGCTGACCCAAGAGGCGGAACCTGTTGGCCACCCACTAGTCTATATAATGGCTGAAGTTCCCATCTGCTCAGCTGACTGGGATTCTAAACACTTTCAGTTTCTAGGGCCACTTTGAACCTGTGCTTCCCTCTTCTCCTGCTCTAGCCTCAGCCCCTTCAAGCAAACCCTGGATGTCAGCAGAGCCACTCGTGTTTGCTCAGGAATGCCCCGGCTCAGCAAAGTCAGGCCATCACCGAGGGCAAGTCACAAGAAGGGAGAACTGGCTGATAACCTCAGGCTTTCGCTCTCCAAGCCCAGGCCTGGGGTCGCAGGGCTCCAAGCCAAGGGGCGGGCCTCGGGCCAGCCCGTGGACCCTGGGCCTGAGATAGCGGCAGGTCCAACCACGTCTGTAACTGAGGCCACCACGCAACTGTTTGAGGGCAATGAAGGGCTGGGACCCTGGGACCCAGGGATCCTGACCCCCAGCTCAGGGCCCTTTCTTCGGTGCCAGCCACCACATCCCTGCCCCCCCTTCCCTTTGAAGCCAGCGGAGTTGACCTTCAGGGACCGCAGGTTCCTAACATTCTTTGGGAGGCCCGAAGAATGAACAGGAACGTATGCTCAGGGAGTGATTGACAGCTGGCTCGCCCAGTCAGCAGCCGCCAGCCCTGCGGCACCCCCGCCCTCCCGCCGGGGCCCCCTAGTTCACTGCAGAGACATCCTGTAGACGGCCCACCCACTGGCATGGGCTCCTCTCTAGCTGCTGAGCCGTTCTGCTTCCTCTGTGAGGACACAGGGAAAAAATGTGTTTTCCTGGGCCTTGGCAGCCAGCGCTGGTTGGAGCCTCCTCCCTGCTGGAAGGGGAGCAAAGCTGGGCGAGCCCAGCGCCCCATGGAAGCACGGCCCTTGCCTTCTAGCTCTGGTTCTGCCACCCACTCACACTCACCACGTGACTTCAAATCCGTCACCCCCCTTTCTCTGGGCCTCAGTTCCCCAACAGGCCAAACCTCCCCCGAGCCTATCGTTCCTCCCAGCACGGATCATTTAGGAGTTTTATAGAGTGTCAGATTCTGGTCTAGAATGGAGCTCCAAAACCACCAGCAGAGTGGAGGCCCTGGTAAAGGAAATCAGTGAAGGCTTCCTGGAGGCAGGGGCATGAGAACACAAACCTGAGACTGGCGGCCTTGACCATCCGTCTGCTCCACCTGCACAGCCAGGGACCACTTCCCCTTTTCAGCTGAACCAGGACCATAGCCGCCTCCTCACTGGCCTCTAGTCCGGCATGGCTCCACTGGCGGCCCTGACATCTATCCCCCACCAAGTGCTGTGAGAGGGACACACACCTCCAAACCTGCCCACGTTCAGCCCTTTCAAAACCCTGCAATGCCAGTCTTCCCTCCAGCTTACGCAGTGGGGGGCCCACATCTCCACCATATTCTCTGTCCACTCTCTCCCAGGATCCTCATGCTAACAACAAATGAAGGGACAGATAGTAAAGTCTACCATCTTTGTATGTTTCCCATAGGGACAAACATGGAGAGAAAGAGAGAGAGAGAGACAGAGAGAGAGAGAGAGAGAGAGAGAGAGAAGATGGTACCTGGGTCCTAAAGGGTCTGCTCACTTTTGAGAAACTGCTTCAAGAATCCTATAGCCCACTCGGGCTTCCTGCTTCACTGGAAGATTCCCAGACCTTTTTTCCCCAAGTGCTGTAGAGTCTTTTCAGGACATGGACCTAGTGCTCTTTCATTCATTCAATCGGCAAACATCCAGAAGCACCTACTCTGTGCCAGGCTTGGTGCTGGGTCCCAAAGGCCCAAAGATGAATCACAGCCCCTGCCCTGAAGGGCTTCATAGATGACCATCACTCCATCTGACAACCCAGCTCACTGGTCACCTCCTCAGGGAAGCCTCCCTTGATTGCCCTGGCTAAACTGGAGCCCTGTTTATATGCTTTCAAATCACAGTGCCTTCTGCCTCCTACTACTCATCTCAGTGATGCTTTTGCATTGAGTCTGATAGCTCTTCCTTCAACGTTGGCTCCCCCTCCTCGATTGTAAGCTCCAGAGGGATCCCGTTTGCCCATCATCTCACCCCAGAATCTGGCCTATGACAGGCTCCATCGCAAGGCAGTGTCAGGACTGAGGAAGGCACAGGAGCCCATGTTGGGTCCCAGACCCTAGGGAAGGCCCAGAGGTGATTCAGCAGGAGGTCAAACCTGTCAGTGCTAGCTCTCAGTCTGTGAGCCAACCAGCCACTTCCCCCTGCGCCCTGACCCCTGGCCCTGCAGGGGGATGGTTCCTGCGCAACTCTGAAGGATGGGCTGCCTGGTTCCCGTGCTTCTGGCTGCCACCTCCCTTACTCAAACCCTATACTCTTGGACATCCCTGGCTCCAGCCTGCGCCTGTTGACTCTTCTTTCTCTCCCATTGGTCCCCTGGAAAATAGGCTGCATATGGGGGCTGCCATATCTCCCCCATTCTACACCCATCCTGCCACCCTGCAGGTTGCCGAGTCCCCGCCACAGATGGAGACACCGAAGTTCTGAGCTGGGGAAGCAGGGCTTACTAGAGCTCAAAGATTCAAGCTTAAAAGATCGTCTGGTTCCTCACCCCGCCCCCCAAGTTCAAATACTGCCACCACCATCCCCATTCTGATGCCCTGTGGTTGAGAGGGGGAAGACAGAACAGGAGCAAAGATTCCCTATCCCCCATTCTGGTCCACACTGCCGATGGGGAGGCGGGGCAAGTTCCAGGCCCCGCCCCTCACACATTGTTCAGGACCAAGACCACCTGTTCCACACTGCTTGTGGACCATGGCCGGCCCAGGGTGAGGACTCTGGGTCCCAGGGCTGGCCCAGGCCCTCAGCTAGCTCCTCAGGTCTGGCCATCAATAGGTCCGTCTGACTAATCCCACCTGGGAACTGAAACCACCCAGAGAGCAGAAACCAGCTCCACCCCGTTTGCCTGGCCTCACCCTCCCCGACCCAGCAGGTACAACCTCCAGAACTAGGACCAGCCAGGAGCCACGAAAGAGAGGAAGCCACGGATTCCTTCCTACTTCCCAGCTTTGTGGTGGGTTTTCAGGCCCTTCCTGTTCCTCCTGAGAGGAAGGGGATGAGCAACCCTGGGGGTGAAGGAGAGTCCCCAGGGTCTGCATTCCCCAGGCAGCTGGAACCTGGGGACAAGGGCAGAGGCATCAGGTGCTGGGGGAGGGGCACTCGTCTCACCCCCCAGCCCAGCCGGATGGGCCCTTTGATACTTCGCCCCACCCTAGGGCTGCAGGCGCCGGCTCTGGGCGGGGGACAAACACTGCAGTCACATGGCCGTGTCCCTGGGAAACTCCGGGGACAGCAAGGGCCTGGCCGAGGGCTGGTCGGAAGCGGACAACCCGAGGGAGAATTCTCGTACCCCCGTGTGACCTTGGAACTGGCCACTTCCCTCGGTCGGGTCCTTATTCCACATTATTCAGGCGGGCACAGTCTCCAAGGCACACGCAGGCCCCAGGGTCTTCACCCTCCGCCCCGGGAGCGCGCGGGCGGACACCACACACACACACACACACACACACACACACACACACTCACACACACTCACACACGCTCTCACGCACGCACAGGGCAGGATAAGCGGGACACTGGCCCGGGAACACATACGCCCGCCCGCCCTCGGACGTAAACAAACCGCGCACGCACTGCTCGCGGGCACCGGTCCAGGGACTGTTCTCACCGAGTCACGTACGTGCACACACCGCCCCCGGTCCCGCCTGGGCGGACGCTGACGCTCGTCGGCTGCGCTGTCCCTTCCTGCCCCGCGCGGCTGCCTCCCCGCGCGCTCCCCCAGAAGGGGCCCATCATTCCCGCACTCCGCCAAGCTCGCCTGGGCCCCGTCTCGGTGCTCCGGGTCCTCTGGCCCCTGCCCCTCCCCAGAACACCCCCCCCCCCACCGCCACCCGCCAGTCGTCCGGGGGAGGGACACACCAAAGCGCCGACGGAGCGAGCCCCGGAGCCCCGCCCCGGGCACGTAGACCCTGCCGCCTCGGGTTTCGGGAGCCAGCCCCCGTCTCGGACCCGCGTCCCTTACCCGCCTCTCGGCCCGCTTCGCCTGGCGCCCCGTGCACGCGCGGCTGCCGCTGCCGTCCCGGCTTGCTGTTCCCGCCCGCGCCCTCTGCCTGTCCGATTCCCCTCCGGTCCCGACCGCGGGTCGCTCCGAGCCGGGCTCCCGAGAGCGCAGCGCCGAGTTTTGTTGTGGGGCGGGCGGCGCGGGGGGCGGCGCGGAGTTGTAAGGCGAGCTTCCCGGAATTACTCACTCACAGGATTCCTTTCATTCATAAAAACCCAGTCATGCGGTGACGTCACCGCCTGGCGGCCCCTACGGCCCCGGAGCGGCCTCTCGGCTCTGTGCCCCGCCCCCATACGGGCCCGCCCCCGAGCAGGCCCCGCCCACACAAGGCCTGATCGCTGGGCCTCCGCGCGGCAGGCGTTCTCAGCCCTAGTTAGAGGCGGCTGGGTGCGTTCACGTGATACCTCGCGAGAGCCGCGTGGGCGGAGGAGTCATTTGTCTCATTTTGCAGTCGACAGTCCCGTACCTCTTCTCCTTTCAACCTACACCCTCTGCCTTGATGATCTCATTCAGTCTTGTGGTTTTAAATGCCACTCATATGCCCATGATGCCCAAAGAGCTTCTCTGAGTTCAAGACTGCCCACTCTGCACCTCCACCTGGGTGCCAGAGGAGGACCGCTAAAATCCACTTCCTGATCACCAACGCTTTCTCAGCTCCCCATACCCCCAGACTCCGCAGTTTCAGTTGTTCAAGCCCAATTCTAGGAGCTTTGCTCCATTCCTCTTTCTCCCTTCCTCCCCACGAGTCAGGCTGGCTCTCCCTCCAACGATGCATCTGCATCTGACCCTCCTGCCTCTGACCCCTCTTCCCCATCCCGTCATCCTACCTGGTCCGGGCACCATCAACTTACCTGGACAATGGCAGCAAGCTTCCTGATAGCCTCCGCACTTTGCTCCCAATGGCTTTCTTCACGCACCAAAGTTCTGAAAACAAGGATCAGATTGTTTCACACACTCCCCCTCTCTGGCTCAATACCCTCGATGGCTTCCGTTTGCATATAAAACATAAACTATACTCCTTTTGGTCTATAGGGCCCTAAGCCATCTGGCCTCTACCCAACTCTGCAGCCTCAGCTCCTTCCACTCTCTCCTCACCCTGCCACACTGCCCTTCTTAACTGTTTTTCCAGCACACCTAGATTATTCCTACCACAGGTCCTTTGCACCAGCTATTTCCTCTTCTGTTCACCGCCAGGCTCTTTCTCATCTCTCAGCTCAGCTTAGAGGTCACTGTCTCAGAGAGGCCTTTCCTGACTCCCTTAGCTGAAAGAGCCCCCACTTCAGAAATATGTTTTTATATTAACCTAGTATATCCCACAAGGTGTTACCTTGCTTCTATATTTGCTTACTATTTAATGTCTGTCTCCCCAACCAGAATGAAAGTTTCTTGTCTACCTTGTTCAACCACTGCATGCCCTGAGCCTAGAACAGCGCTCAGCACACAGTGAGCCCTCAATAAATGTATGTTGAGGAGATAAATGAGTGGAGGCTCAGAGAGAGAAAGTGACTTTAAAGTCACCTAGCTAGGAAGTATAAGAACTGGAGTTTGAATCCAGACCTGGTTGATTCCCGGTTTGGGGCTATACCCAAGTGAGTGGGTCCCAGTATAAATGTGAGGGATATATCAGTGCCTGGAGCTTCACTCAAAAGGGGCAGTTTTGGGGCGCCTGGGTGGCTCAGTCGGTTAAGTGTCTGACTTCGGCTCACGTCATGATCACACGATTCATGGTTTCGAGGCCCACGTCGGGCTCTGTGCTGACGGCTAGCTCGGAGCCTGGAGCCTGCTTCAGATTCTGTGTCTCCCTCTCTCTCTGCCCCTCCCTTGCTCACACTGTCTCTCTCTCTCAGAAATAAAGAAAACATTTAAAAAAATTTTTTAAAAAGGGGGGCAGTTTTGGGAGCACTTGAGTGGCTCCGGCGGGTAAGCATCTGACTCTGGATATCAGCTCAGGTCATGATCTCACAGCTCTTGGGATCAAGCCCTGCTCTGGGCTCCAGAACGATAGAGTCCTTGTCATGCCTTCTGGCCTCTGGGTCCATCTGGGATGGTCTCTCACCTCCGGAAAGCCTTGGGTTTCATATACAGATTGACCCACTAGCTTCCCAAGTGACCAAATGTGGTGGCAAATTTGTCTGACACTTAAAGAACTACATCCCCCAACAGATTGACCCCTTGCCCTACATTCACACATCTAACAGGACCATCACATTGCCCCTGGGGTACAAAAGTTCTTGACTTTAGAAACTGTGCCATTGTGATCAGTGGTCTTTCTCTCCCCCCTACCCCCATTTTTTAAGAGCTTCTCCAGAGCTGAGGCCATAGTAGGTGCTCAACTAGTGAACGAATCCCTGGTGGCCTGTGCAACACCCCCGGACACCTCGCTGCCTAAAGCCTTTGCTCCCATCCCCTGGCTGCCCACGGCAGGGAGTCAGACCCTCAGTGCCCACACAGCAGAGGCTGCTTCCCCAAAGACATTGTTCCCTTTCTGGTCAAGGTCAAGTGACATACAGCAATGTCATTTTTATTTTTTATTATTTTTTTGTTAAAATTTTTAAATGTTTGTTTATTTTTGAGAGAGAGAGAGACAGAACACAAGCAGGAGAAGAGAGAGGGAGACACAGAATCCAAAGCAGGCTCCAGGCTCTGAGAGCTCTGAGAGCTCAGAGCCCGACGCGGGGCTCAAACCCACAAACCATGAGATCATGCTCTGAGCCAAAGTCAGACACTTAACTGATTGAGCCACCCAGGCGTCCTGGCAACGTCATTTTTAAAAGTGGCAGCTCTGTGGCTTGAAAGGGGATTCCTACAGGACAAATCTAGGACAATTCAAACATCAAAGTAAATAATACTAATGATGGGTCATAACCCATTAAAGAATTGATGAGTCTATGCTAATACGAATGAATGGATAGATGAATGAAAATTAATAAGACAAGACTCCTCCTTCCAGTAGAAGGAATGACAGACTTAGAAAATCGCCGTTACGCAAACATTCTAGTAATAATGGATTCAAAGAGGAATCATCAATGGATGCGAAGATTTGATGCGCAATGTGAAATTGTACAGTCTCAAAGTACTGCCCTAAGTATAATTCCTTTTTTTTTTTTTTAAATTTCTGAGAGAGAGAGAGACAGCGTGAGCAGGGGAGGGTCAGAGAGAGATGGAGACACAGAATCTGAAACAGGCTCCAGGCTCTGAGCTACCGGTCAGCACAGAACCCAACACAGGGCTTGAACCCACGAACTGCAAGATCATGACCTGAGCCCAACTCGGACGCTCAACCAACTGAGCCACCCAGGCGCCCCCCCAAGTATAATTCTTTTTTTTTTTTTAGTTTTTAAAACAATGTTTTATTTATTTCTAGGAGAGAGAGAGAGACAGCTTGAGCAGGGGAGGGTCAGAGAGAGAGGGAGTCACCGACTCTGAAACAGGCTCCAGGCTCTGAGCTGGCAGTCAGCACAGAGCCCGACACGGGGCTGGAACCCACGAACTCGAGATCATGACCTAAGCGAAGGTTGGACACTTAGCTGACTAAGCCACCCAGGCGCCCCAAGTATAATTCTTAATTAGAAGTGGGACAGTAGCAATCCTACAGCGGAGAAACCTGGCCGACACCACATCCACTAAGTGATCAAAGCGACGGGACGAATCGACATGTGTGTCCCCTAAAGGATGCACTGAGTAGGACACAGCATCCCTTCCGCCAAAAACGCCTAGTGAATGTGATCATGAGGAAACGTGAGATAACCCTAAAACTGAGAGGCTGTGCACTTTAAAAAATGACAAGATTGTAGGGGCGCCTGGTTGGCTTAGTCGGTTAAGCGTCCGACTTTCGCTTAGGTCATGTAGTCGCGGTTCGTGGGTTCGAGCCCCGCGTCGGGCTCTGTGCTGACTGCCAGCTCAGAGCCTGGAGCCTGTTTCAGTCTACGACTCCCTCTCTCTCTGACCCTCCCCTGCTCACGCTCTCTCTCTCTCTCTCTCCTAGAAATAAAAATAAAAACATTTAAAAAAAAAAAAAAGACAAGATTGCAAAAGACAAAGAGAGGGGAGCTGTTCCAGATCCACAGGGGACATGGGAACCGAATGCAGTGTAAGATCCAGGATTTCCCCTTGGAATGAAGGACGTTGTGAAGGGAGCTGGTAAAATCCCAGTAAGCTCTATGGACCGGCTAATAGAATCTTATCGGCATCAATTTCCCAATTTGGGTAATTGTCCTGCGGTCAGGTAAGAGCAGGTCCTTGATTTTAGGAAACACGCATTGGCACATTTAGAGGTAAAGGGGCTTCGTGTCTACAGTTTACTCTCGAATGTTTCAAAACGAGATAGCGAGGTAATTATAAAGATAATGTGATAAAATATGAACAATTGGGGGATCTGGGTGAAGAACGTACAGAAATTCTGCCATTCCTGCAATGTATCTTTTAGTACCAGTCTTTTGCTTTGTTGTTGTTGTTTTGGGGTGTGTTTTTTTGTTTTTGTTTGTTTTTGTTTTTCAAGCAGGGGCTCTCAGGATAGTCTGCCGGCTTCAAATCCTGGCCTCCACGCCTCACAGGCTGACTCTACCTCTCCCTGCCTCACTCTCCTCCTTTGTATACTGGGTTTACTAATAGTGCCCACCTCATGGATTGAGAAACAAGTTAATGTGTTCACACTTAAAAGCATGTGGCCCAGTGCCAGGCGTGGGAGAAGAGATTGATAGATATTGGGTGAGAGACAGATGAGTCGTCTGGAGTCCCCTAGAGAAACCTGCTTCTTCCCTGGGCTCGAGTGACACAAAAGCAGTGAGGACCCCGCCTGCCTGGGGCCGGAGACCCCACCTCCTGCGGGCAAGGCGGGGCCTTGTTACCAGTTTCTAAGGAGGGAGCATCTCCGACAGCTGAGTCAAGCAGAACGCTGACTGCTCAGCTCAACACCCGGTCACCCGGCCAGGAGTCCAAAACACCAAATAGCACCCAAGGGCATCCCCGTGGTACCCCAGCCCCCAGGCGGCGCCTTGCTCAATAGCAGGTGCGGTGTGCTGTGACAGCTTGACCCAAGTCTGGATCTCAGCTCACTCGCATCCCTGGCTGACCCCAGTGTGGGGCATTCCTCGCTCCCAGCCTCAGTTTCCCCATTTGCTGCACTGAAAGCCTAGCATTAGGTCAGTGATTTTGAAATAGTCTCAAGCCCAGTAAACTTTCTTCA